GAATTTGGAATTTAGGGAATTTGGAATTTGGGGAATTTGGAATTTGGTGAACTTGGAATTTGGGAAATTTGGAATCTGGGGAATTTGGAATTTGGGGAAATTGGAATTTGGGGAATTTGGAATTTGGGGAAATTGGAATTTGGAGAATTTGAGATATGGGGAATTTGGAATCTGGAGAATTCGAGATTTGGTGTATTTGGAATTTGGGGAATTTGGAATCTGGGGAGTTTGGTATCTAGACAATTTGGAATCTGGGGAATTTGGAATCTGGGGAATTCGGGATTTGAGAAATTGTGAACTTGAGAATTTGGAAATATAGAAATTTGTGTAACTTCACTACTTGTAAACATAATTTAAAAATTGTTTAAACTTCAATAAATAATTATCACTAACCCACCCCATCAGGATACGCAAAATATTGAAATTAAAAATGCATCCATAAACTGCAGCAACTTTCTACCGTCCCAAATAACGTAATAACCAAGATAGACGTAAGAAGGAAAAAAGTAAATTGAAAAATATAACATCAACGAAAGTTTCCCACGTCGAGGAAAAACGATTTCATGAATCTTAAAAATTTAAGCAGATCCTGCATATCAAGATGCCGTTCCCTGGAAATGGAATAAGTTAAACGCGATTTCTGGCCTACGAAAATAGTGTTTCTTCGACTATCAAGTTGCAAAAACTAATATAGAAGTCATAGAATTGTTTATACGTCTATCTATCTAAATAAAGAATAGCGCATCTGAATACTTCAGAAGATGGTCAAAGTTTGCTACAATGTTAAGAATTTGAAGCACCCTCGGAGAATTGAATCTTTCTCCAATGCATTGAAGATATTGTATTTTCATGGATCTATCAAACTTGCCACAATGTGAAAGATGGGCTTTTAAAAAGCTCTTTTGTAAGATAGTTTAGAATATTTCAAGACTGCGTATACAAGAATTAACTTGTAAATTTTTATTAAGGTTTTTTTGACAAGATGTCACTTACCCTGATTTCTCAAGCTCTTTTTTTGAAACGCAAACAGCGGTGAACGTGTCCTTCAGCAGACACAGGTCCTTTTTCTTGCAATTCAGCTGACGACAGAGTTCGCCTGGAAAATAAAATAATTATAAAATTTATTATGGAAGTATTCGAGTGCACTTTGTGTAATTAATGTCAAATATTAGTATGTTCTGAGCTTAGAAGGAACATGTGAAGTACGGTACATTTTCTTTGATGGATAGTAGACTCTCGTTATATTGCCGTTGACAATTACGGAAGCAAAAAATTCTTAAAATAGATATAGACAATAAATTGTGAGCTGAAATAAATTCAGGATATAGTAAATACAACGCGTGATTAATTCAATAAGTGATCAATTTAGTGAGTGGCGATATAATGCGAGGTAAATACAATTTATTAAAATTGTACGCGTGATGAATATAAAGTGTGGAGAATGCAGCGTAGTACAATGTGTAACTAATTCAATAAGTAACAAATATAGCGAGCGGCGATATAACGCGAGGTAACTACAATGCGTTAAAATTGTATGCGTGATGAATATAAAGTGTGGAGAATGCAACGTAACACAATGTGTAACTAATTCAATAAGTAACAAATATAGCGAGCGGCGATATAACGCGAGGTAACTACAATGCGTTAAAATTGTATGCGTGACAAATATAAAACGTGGAGAATGCAGCGCAATACAACGTGTGATTAATTCAATAAGTGATAATTATAGCGAACGGCGATATAACGCGAGGTAAATACAATATGTTAAAATTGCATGTGTGATAAATATATAACGTGGTGAATGCAGCGCAATACAATTTGTGATGAATTGAATAAGTAATAATTATAGTGAACGGCGATATAACGCGAGGTAAATACAATGCGTTAAAATTATATGCGTGATTAATACAAAACGTGAGGAATGCAGCGCAATACAACTTATGATGATATGAATAAGCGACAAATATAGTGAGCGGCGATATAACGCGAGGTAAGTCAATGTGTGGTAAATTCGATGCGTAGTACATTGAACGCATAGTAAATCGTATACGTGATAAATACAAAGCGCGGTGAACACAACGCGCGGCGATATAACGCGCGGCGATATAACGCGTGGCGATATAACACGAGATAACTTCAATGCGTAGCAATATAACGCGTGGTTAATTCAATGAATGGGAATATAACGCCTGGTAAATTCAATGGGTATTACATACATGAAATTATAATACGTGGCAATATAATGCGAGTTTAACACTGTATTGTAAAACATAATAAATTGTCGCGTTACAAAAGTGACAATATAACAAGAATCTACTCTACACTAATTTCCCGCAGTATCAACAAGGAGATATTATATATGGTCTCGTGATCCTATTTGAACGCGTTAATTAATGTTCAATGTTGTAATCAAGCAAGTAAATGTTAATAATTAAATTTCGATGCTCGCGAAAGGAGATTAGAATCCCAGCAGGTAATAGGAAGCTTAATACGTAAAATCTCACGTGGAGATTCAATGACGTTGTAACGGTTACCATAGATTAATAATGCCTGATTAAATATGTCGTTCATTAGCAACGGCGTTGATAAGACGTAGGATGTGTAGCCAGAAAGGAATATTAAGTGTGGGTAGCATGTTTGTTTTAATGGAGGGCGATTATGGAAAGTGGAGCAGGGCAATAACTCTTCTTTTCTAAATGAAGTCGGGGATCGAGGGGGAAAAGAGAAATATAACGCGGTTTTTGGGGCTACAGTTTATCTTTACTATCTTTTTTAACCGCGTCGCTGTATTTGCGAATGCCTTAAAACTGTTATTTGCCCAGCGACAGGAAGGACGTTTATTTATTCGCCTTTGAGCGAACGGCTCCGGTGATCAACGTCGATCGAATATGCAACTCGTACGCCGGAAGTTTGCATGTCTTTGCAAACCGAGAGCGTGTACCGGGAACAATAATGCGATCCGACAGTTTCCACGCGAAGTGAATTGGATATCCAATGTCGATTCGACGACTCGCACGGATGTTCGATTTCTGACAGGAAAGCGGAGCGCAGGTTCAAGAACGTCGCTGCGAATTTTCCGCTTGCAGATTTATCGTGTTCGGTCAGTTAGACCTGGCTAGATCCTCCATTCGTAGCATGGAAATTCGAACGGAGTAAAGAACTTGTCTTATTGGTTACGAATACACACACGTTTCACATACACAATTCGCCAAAACCGAAATCGACTTGTTCCGTGTTCGACTACCACGTTCTCCAAACTGTACAAATGTAGATATAGGGATGATTCTCTAAATGACCCAAATTCTCTGAATTGTTCAAATTTTCCAAATCACCCAAACACTCCAAGTCCCTAAATTTTGAAACTTTCAATACCTATAACTTTTCAAATTTTTACAGCCTCTCCCTAAATTCTCCAAATCCTCAAATTCCCAAACTTCAAAGTCGACAATAATTAAAACCCCACCCCTCCTCCCTCAAATTCCCAAAACTCTCCAAATCTAAATTCACCAAATATTCCAAAAATTCTGAAATCCGAAATCTCCAATCTCCGTTCGTTGCAATGTTTCCATGTGGCGTTTCATTCGCGCGTAAAGCCGTGCATCGACGTACACGGGAATCGCATCGAAGAAACCGCAGGGCGGGCTTTGACCACCCCTTTTGATCCATTCAGATTTCTTTTTCGTTTTCGTCTTTTATCCCGGAAGTTCGGCCCACGCAAATGGCCGTATTACCTGGGCGAAAACGAGCAGTTCGCGAAACGGCTGCTATTCCTTAATTCATGTACGCTCGACTTTAATTCCGCCCGCTATTCCGCTCCTTTCGGGGATATTAGTTGCCCGCCAAGGGAAGTGGAACTTCGCCGGGGCGAAACTTTTAATTAGACGCGTAACTGAACCCTCCGTTATTTGCGATACGCTCTCGTTTCTTTCTTTTTTTCCTTTCCGACGTACTATATCGACGCTGGATGAACACCGACAAATCCGCCATTTTCCCTCGAGATGCACAATTTCGTTTTGTAATTTGGCCGAAAGTTACGAGTTGCGAATTGGGGTTATGCTCATTCTAAGGGATATTAAAATTGCGATACATAAAATGGTGGAACAAAATGGCTTTGGTTTAAGTAGTATAAGCAAGTGAATGGTCAGACATGTGGTACTCCTACAAGTGCGACATCTATGACTATAATTTTATAATGCACATGAGATAATTATATATGTAATCATGTATGTAATGAATATGTGATCTTGAAGTATAATGTGACTTATTATAACCTTGATATGTAACATATGTTACATATGTACATCTATGACTATAATTTTATAATGTACATGAGGTAATTATGTATGTAATCATGTATGTAATGAATATGTGATCTTGAAGTATAATATGATTTATTATAACCTTGATATGTAACATATGTTATATATACATCTATGACTATAATTTTATAATGCACATGAGGTAATCATGTATGTAATGAATATGTGATCTTCAAGTATAATATTATTTATTATAACCTTGATATGTAACATATGTTATATATGTACATCTATGACTATAATTTTATAATGCACATGAGGTAATTATGTATGTAATCATGTATGTAATGAATATGTAATCTTGAAGTATAATATGATTTATTATAACCTTGATATGTAACATATGTTATATATGTACATCTATGACTATAATTTTATAATGTACATGAGGTAATTATGTATATAATCATGTATGTAATGAATATGTGATCTTGATGTATATACATATATATAACATATGTTATACATATACATATGTTATATTAGGCATATGTGATACCTAACATAAATGACTAATATACTGATATTATAATTGCATTCATTTTCACAATCAATATGAATTTCCCTTTAACTAAATTTTCAACATGAAAGCGAAATAAGAGATCATCTTAACTTCACAAAATAGAACTACACTTTATAAAATCAGTTTTTAATGACATATCACAGCAAGTAGAAAAATGGAGAAAGAAAAGGGGTGTTCAATTTACGACAGCCACATAGCAACCGTGTATTACATAATCCCGATTGTATTAATACAATTATATTAAGTAACCACACATAACGGCATTGTGTTATTGTACCGAGTCCTATTGTACAACCATACAATTAACGTAGGATTACAATTAGCCAAACGAGTGTAGGAATCGATCGACGCAATCTGAGCTCCGTGGGACAAAAGTGTCCGACGTAACTCTTAGAAGAGGAAGTGTAATGATCGCGACGGTTAGCTATCAGGGTTACACATGAAATGGCGTCGTTCGGGGGAGCCTCCGAGTTAATGGGCAGGAGAGAAATTCAATCGAATGCGGTATGCTTCGAAACGACCAATATCGCTTGTCGACTATTTCCAGACGAATGCAATTGTGCTCGGGCACTGAACGTTCGCCGCGCAGCTACATCAAAGAAACGAATCATTTCGTTTGGCGAAAATCCGGATTGCCTCCTTGCGTCCACGACGGAATTAGTTTCGATCCCCTTCTGCTCTCGAGCCGGCAATCAACCGTAAACCCGTTCGTAACTTTCAAATTTACCTCGACCATTCTAATCCTTTCGGGGTGGAAAAAGACGGAGGGGCTAATTCGGGGAGATAGTCATTTTTCGGGGATCGATTTTATGGGGAATTTAGGGAGGACCAAATCTGGGAAGGAATACTTCTAATTTGGGTTCGTAACGTGAAATGATTTTGTAGGCAATTTTAGGAGATGGAAGTCTGATTAGTAATGCTTCTTTGGGTTGGGAATGTGGGCTGATTTTATAGGGAATTTTAGGAGCTGGAAATCTGGGGAGTAATACTTCTAATTTGGGTTGGTAACGTGGGGTGATTTTACAAGGAATTTGGAGAGGACGAAATCTGATCAGTAGTCATCTGATAGTAGGTGACATAGGGTTGGAGATTCAGGACTTTAGGGATTTAGGGATCTGAGGTTCTGGAAATTTAGAAATTTGGGGATCAAGGAACCTTCAAATCTAAGAATTTGGGAATCTAGGAATCTGGGAATCTAGGAATCTGGGAATCTAGGAATCTGGAAATCTAGGAATCTGAGAATGTGGGACTCTA